TGTTACAAAGATAATAGAAGAACAAGTTCCCGCTACAATACTGCTATACAGTGAGTACGTCAGTTTTAGTCCATATCCGTATCGATACTGACTACATACATTGTTACAAAGATAATAGAAGAACAAGTTCCCGCTACAATACTGCTATACAGTGAGTACGTCAGTTTTAGTCCATATCCGTATCGATACTGACTACATACATTGTTACAAAGATAATAGAACAACAAGTTCCCGCTACAATACTGCAGTAGTATCGATTTAATTCACAGTATTACTGCAATAGTAAAGACACGCACCATTTCCCGCTACAAATTCAAATGCAATAGAATACAATCAAAGGTATCAATATACAGTGTAATTCCTGTACTAGACCAATCACATATATATATATGATGTGTAAGTCTGAATATAATCTTAGGAACAAAGCATCGGCACTTTGCAATAAAAAATACAACAGTATACAATCATTGGTATGAGATCCCCGCGAATTACATGTTCTACTTCTAGTACTAGTACTAATAACATATGTTTAAATATAATCTTAGGAACAACACACTGGCATTTCCGGCTTCACAGTAAATCTACTTTGCTTTAGTGGAACAAATAACGTCGTTTATTTCTTATAAATAAAATCTATGTGCTCTTAACAAAAACTCTACTCTAGTATTGACGCAAAGATACAAACGGAATAGATTGGTCGAAAAGAGAAACAAAGTCACTCGCAATTTATTTTAGTACATTTTTTTTTTAAATAAAGGTACTAAAAGAATTATATAAAAAATATTGAACACAAGATTTCAGATTATTCTTTTTCAATATACTTAGGTCAATTTTATTTGTAAATACCAGAGGAACAAAATACACTTATGCAAATTATAGGGATAAACGAAAAGGAATTTTATAGGGTAACAAAGCGATTAAGTCATCAAATACCACACTTATATACAAATCATCGGTAGAAAGAGGCATAATATTTGTTACTCGACCCGAGACGTTTCGCCTACCGATAGGGAGGGTATACACACTGCATCAGATAGGTTACAAGTAGGGTGTAGATCTAACCCCCTCCCCTGTTACGTCAATATCGGGTCATACAGATGACTCAGCTGGTGTCCCTCCTCGTCTCTGTTCATGTTCGGAGTTCTCCGGAGTTTTATTGCTTCTTTTTTTTTTTTTTTGACTGCAAAACGTCTCGGGTCAATTAACATGAAAAATATACAATTTCGTCACCTCGTTGTACATGTCAAAAATACAAATCGCTCACTCAGTCATAGCTTGAAAAAGGGACCAGTCGGTCTTGAAACGCTGCAACACGTTTAATAGGTACATTGTTTGTGCAGAAAGTAGTTTTAAACTTTGATGTGAATTGCAACATGTTATTACTTTACGACGCAAACCATGGAACCTATTCAAAACATTCATTTGTAATATGTAAACGAAGTATCAATCGTTAATTAATTTAACTATTTTTTGTACAAAAAATATTTTGGAATATCGTAGAACTTAAATAAAGGGTTATAGATAATTTCCGGTTATACATTATAGCTGAAGGAAGTCTCAGTCGGTAGGGACTGGCCCAACCACTCGGACTTTCCCTAGTTATAAAATGATAAGATGGTTTATTTATGACAAACTATTGAAGTAGAAAATTGGTTGGAACAATTATTGTATTAGCTTTTTTCTTATCTAAATCAATGATTATAATTGCTATTTTTTTTTAAATTGTTAGTATATATTAAAACAAATGTCAAATTATACAAGCCAAGAGCCAAAACTGAGTACACAGAAAAGAAGAAGATACAAAACAGGCCCATACAAACGAGGTTAGTGTAAAACTAATCATATCTCAGAAATACATAGAAGTTTCATGTTACACAATCAAACTACCATACTATGAAGTGCTTACATTGCTATATTGTAAAACTTGAGTAAATAAAGAATTGAACAGAACATTCAAATAGAGCAACACAATAAAATGTCCAATATACATAAATAACAAGTTATATCTTGGTAAAGCGTACTTTAAATTACGCAATGTTGCTTTTCAATCGCTTTCGTTCTTTTTAAAAAACATAAATTTTCATGTTGCCGAAATAACAGCCGAATTTCAATATTTCAACTTTTCATGTTGTATTTAAAAAACCCACTTTCATTCTCTAAGAACATACCGGACAATTTTTCACAGAAAAGAAGCTGTACATTAACATCATGGTATACATGTACGTATAAGTATTACTTTATTTGTAATATATGTTTTCTGGTTTTTGTTTTTTTCTCTCTTATATAATCTTTATTTCTTTAACAACAAGAGACCCAGAGGGCCTGTATCGCTCACCTGAATATTTAAGCAGTCATAGCAAAATATTCTCATTAAATATTATATTGCACTACAAATATTTCCTTCACAAACTTTGTCGGCTCCGTCTGTTGAAACTACCAGTCAAATATTATTATAAAATTCTATGCGTTTTGGTTCTTCTTCAGAAGTTGTTTGACATATTTTCCCTGTGACCTTGTAAGCAGGTCAATATCATTTTCCTTCTCAAACTTTGTTAGCTCTATCCCAAAAAGCTACCAGCCAAATCTTATGAATCCATTCCTTTTGGTTCTTCAGAAACAAATCCTTTGAAATGTTGTTGACCTCTGTGACCTTTAAAGTAGGTTGAGGTTATTTTCATTTGCAAACTTTGCCAAACTCAGCCAAATATTATAATGTTATGCCTTTCGATTATTCAGAAGAAGTCGTTTGATGTTTTTGACATATTTGACACCTGTGACCTTGAAAGGAAGTCAATGTCATTTCCATTCTTAAACTTTGTCGGGCTCCATTCCAGGAAGCCATCAGCCAAATATGAAGATTCTGTACCTTTCAGTTCTTCATGAGAAGTCGTTTGAAGAGTTTGACACATTTGACCCCTGCGACCTTGAAAGTAAGTCAAGTTCTCAAACTTTGTCGGGCTCCCACCAACGAAGCGTTCAGTCAAATATCATGGCTTTATGCCTGTTCATTCTTCAGAAGAAGTTGTTTTAAGGAAAAGTTGACGGACGACGGACGGACGACGAACGCCGAACCATTACATAATACAGCCGTCACACAGGACTGGCGTCCCTACGGCGTCCCTACGGCGACCCAGGACGTGGAAGGGACGCCATGGACGCCGTAGGGTCGTGGTGAGAACGCAACAAGACGCCGTGGGTACCCCAAGGACGCCGAAGGTCGCAGAGCGACGGCGTTTACTTGGGACATGTTCAAAGTAAACGACGAGGTTCGGCGTCCTGAGCGCGTCCTGGCTCAGGACGCCGTGGGATCGCCCTGAGGTCGCCATGGTCGCCGTAGCATCGCAGTAGGAACCCGAACAATGCCAAAGGAACGTAGTACAGTCGCCATGTAAACGCAGAGAAAAGGATCAGGGGATCCAATGGCGACCTTACTGCGTCCTTACCACGTCTATGGGGTTCTTACCACGACCCCATCACGTCTATGGCGTCCTTAACGCGATGTCAGGGCGGATATTTCGCTAAGAACGCAGTGGGGTCGCAGTGAGGTCGCCGCTGATCGCCGTATGGACGCCGCAGTGACGCCGTGTAAACTCAATAGAAACTCCAAGGACGCAGTAAGAACGCGGTAAGGTCGTGTTGGGAACGCCGGGTACATACACAGATCGCAGAGCACAGAATTCCGGTGTGACGGCTGACTCGAAATCTGGATTTATTTTAGAAAAATCATTGGCGTTCTCAAGGCGACCATCGGCGTTCTCCAAAATATGACAGTTTAGGACGCGGTAAGGACGCCAGTCCGGTGTGACGGCAGTATTAGCTCCATTGCGCTACGAGCAGGTGAGCTAACAAAAATGAAACAAGTTTTTTGAACTTGTATTAATCACTCTTGTTGGCCCGGAAGGAGTGTTAATGTGTCAGGAAACCGGAGTACCCAGATAAACTTGTTTGTCTTTTTTAGTTAAGTTTTTCTATAGACACGTGAACTCAACAATATTCGGGTTAGGTCACAACACAGTTTACCATATTCTGAAAAAGAACTTTCATACTGCTTGCATCTTTACTTAACATACAATGTTCTCTGTGAAATCCATGTTCTGGTACAAAATGCCATTAATTTCCAATGCCACTGCAAGGGATGGAACCTGGGAATTCTGGTTTACTGGCCTGACACACTATCAGAAAAGATTATCCCTTATCGGAGTGGGTAGAGAACAACTTGTATTTTACTGGTGCGACATCGGTTACCACGTCTGACATCAATAATCAGGAAAAAATAACTAATGCTAATTTCATGTGTTACACAATACTGCAAGTGTTCGAACTCTTGCACCGGAAGACAGTTTAAGACTGTGTTGACATTTAGCCATTGAGACGGTGTTCATGACGATATGTTATGTAACAATATAGCATGTTCTTCTGATGCAATGATTAACAATGTTTCTAGCTCAATACATATTCGGTTCCTTCCACATCTTTACTCTCCACTCTCCATCACACCAATAAAATATTCATTACATATCTTCCACTCAGGCAATTTCCGTGGCCGCCTCATTTTAAGAATTATACTTATATATATATATATATATATAACTGTTGTAGATATGTCGCTCTTCAAATCATCCATTGCCCATGCCTCTACAGTCCATGTAGAACTGTACAATATGAACCATTTCCGAACTGATTTATTTTATTCGATGTCAATTCTCTTTCACCAACAAACGTTGATGTACTTCCGACATTGTAGCACAACAAACCTCATACTTGAATTATATGCACACAATGTTCTTTTTGGTGTTAAAACATATATACGTCTACTTTTCTGTTTACTTTGATTTACTTACCAGCGTTTATTATGATGATTTACATACCTGTGTATATAATAATGGTTGACTTGCTTCCATCTTACTCAAGCTTAGCAAGTAGTCATCATATTCATTATGCTTGAGTAATAGGATTTCCTTTTCCGACAAAATATCTAATAAATCCTGTTGCGTTATACATGTATCTGTGTTTAAACCGCCACTAGGACTTTTCCCAGCATTGGATAACATCCAAACATTGTACGAGATATCATTTCTATTTGGTTCCATCTGATGTTACAGCCGAGACATAGTGTATCTTTGACTTAAGGATTTTTTTCCCATCTATAGAATGATGAGTTACTGATCTTGGATCCAATTGGTTCATCAAAATGTCTCTTCCAAATATCCATTTATTTCTCGTAGGAAAAATAATTCAACCTAAAGTGGCAATGAAAGTTTTGCAAAATTTCGTTTGTCATCCATTGACAAATTCATTCAATTTGCCCTCTGTCTGTTGTTTATTCCCCATCTTGTAGTTCTGACTTACGAAGGAGACGTATCATGGTTGAGAGCCAACTCTACAGTTGGAAGGGCTTGATGTGAATGAAGGAATTTTAAAGATTTCTAACCGAAATCCCAAAGCAAATAAATACCTTTCAATGCCTCATTTGATCTACAAATAATATGTGATTGGAGAGCATATCTCCATAAAAAGACATTCATAAAGGAGATATTCGTCAATTTTAACACGTCTTATAAATTACAGACGTTTTTTTAAGTTTTAGTGAATAAAAACTTAAAACTGACTAATCAACTCCATCCTTTTAAACTTAGAATAGGTTGTAGTCTTCAATGTCAGCCAATAAAATGGTCTTGTATTCTGCGTATCTCATATTTCATATCTCGGATATTTTAAGACAGATAAGTTTTCACAGAGCCCCTTATAATCTGTCGACATATTGGACATTTGACCATTGCAGGAGCACATTCTGCACAACAGCAAAGATGTCCACAGGGCAGGAAAGAAATACAGACAACGTTGTCCATGCAGATTTTGCATTTCATCTGTTCCTTGAGCTGGCTGTTCTCCTCCTGGATGGATTTCAACTCTAGGAGTAAGATAGGAATGTCCCAATAAGATAGTTGCACAAGAAAAACATTTTTATGGGAGATATCTGCAACACTAAAAATATGAAGCAGAACTCCTGGGAATGGGAATTTGTTCAATCATAAAATGTTGCAATTGGATTTCAAATCATCTCTGGACTAAAGAATTTGTTCAAAACAATACACAGACACCTCAATAATATTACTATCTCATTTTCAATTCATTGAGAGGGTTGTTTACTGTTAAATTGCACCAATGACAGGTGCTTTTTTTTAACTAGGAATGAGCGAGGCCTTTATAATTGTTCCTACACTATGGCATCCCTGCCTATGACTTGCCATATTGTAAGCAGAGTCCAGACATGTATTATTACAATATATCTATCTACAGGAGGTAAACTTATAATAAATAGCGAATATACATTCACCCATATCAATTATAACAGACTATTTTAAAGATATACTCATTACCTTCTTCAGTGTATGCACGTGTGGATGAATCTCGATCTAAAATGAAAATAAACTAATATAAGGCATTTATATGCTATAACATTGGAGTAAGGGAGATAACACCTATTAGCTGACATTTTACCGGACACAATGGATTAAGAGAAAAAAAATTGCACTTTGTCAAACCATTGAAACAATTAGATGGTAATATCTTTGCCACAATGGACTATATTTGAACATGAAATAATCCTTTGCACCAAAAAACAGTATTATTTTTGAGTGGCAATCACAGTGTCATGTAAACGTTTTTCATGTGGTAAGTCCAGCAAACCTCTTAATCTGCGAGGTGGTCCTGGATCAGGTTGCGTTGATACTGCTCCTTCTGAGGGAGGGGTCTCGTCCTTGGGTGGATTGGTGTTTGTCTGAGCAGTGGCTGGGACATTACTTGTTTGTGTCTGATCAGGTCGCTGTGGAGGCAAGTCCTCATCACCAAAACCAAATATTGTCTCCACCAGGAGTTCTGCTGATATCTGTACAGGACCTGGAGGAAACAGCTACATGAATACCTAAATTTCTTTTGTGGAAAATTTAGTGAAGTCAGGTTTTTTTATAAACCTTGTCACAAAATTCTTCATCATTATATAGTTTGATACTCCTTATGAACAATTCATGTCGATGAATTTCCAGCTAACAAATGTCTCTCCAACCGAGGAGAGAAGGTAACTTCTCGCTTTATTCACTTAATTAACCTCTCTAAAATACAAGTACATGCATTTATTCTTGATCAAAATCATGGTACAACAGCATCTCAAACATCGTTATAAATGAGTGATCTATTTTACGTTCAGACCTATTGATACCGTACTTTCTGCGGTTTGAAATTTCCATTGTGGCACCCTCTCAATGCGTGAATGCTCTAATTGAACCTGTTCGTTTTTATTCAAATCCAAATGTGAACAGGAATATCTGATAAGAGATATATATAATGATGCTTATGCTTCTTACTTGCGATGTATTTTTTAGATTTAGGAATGTGTTATGTGTGAACTCAGAACTGACACTGTGTTGTCGGTCGACAGTGTAGTGCTGTTTATGTTTACTTCTCACTGAAAGCCCCGGATATATATATATTGCGCTATTTCGGTCGTAGTTATTATGATCACCTGCTTTCCCAAAAGATGAAATTGACCACACTGTACGATGCCTTCAGGTTACACACACATCAACTGTGTAAACTTTTGTTAGGAGATATATATTTTCAGTATCGACTCGATTTTCAGGTTGTCATTTGACTAGCCCCTTTAATATGCTTATTCTTTCAACTGAGTTTAATACTCAATTTGGTGCCAACAAATTATTACACCTTTAAACCTAACAGTGTTTCGTAGAATGTACTGTGTTATATGAAGCAACACCAATGACTCATTAACTATAACACTGATTTTACAAATGTCGATCAGCTGTTTTATCACATAACTGTCTTGATATGCAATTCTGAGAGAAGAAAGATCAGGTTGTCTTAGATAGTAACTATTTAAGGAAAAGCTTTCTATTTTGGCCAGGTTATGAGGCATTAACTCCAGTAGAACACATGTAAATTGAATAGATATGATAAATTTACTGATGCTCAACTGAGTCATCACCTCATAACCTGACCAAAATACAGATTTGTTCCTTATATTTACAGCACTTTTCTGTTAACGTTTCATAACTATTTTGTTCATTGGTCAGATCATGGGACACAAATTTAATTTTCAAAACTTAAAATGTGTCATCAATTCAATAAAAGTAACGGCCTGAAATTAGCATAAGCCTTGGTTTACTCTGCCCACATTTACTGTTGATGATGTCACATAATTACGTCTTGTTCACAGAAAACTTGCACAGCTCCGCCCACTTGTCAACATCATGGAACCTTGTCACATATTATGGTTAGGTTATGAGGAGATAACTCTAGTTTACGTGAACAAATGGTTATTGAGTTAATGACTGTGTAGACTGTAAATATATTGATATATAATTTTGACAGTAGACAGTCAGCTACTCGTATATATATAACACCTGTTTCATCTGTCATTAAGGAACAAGACAGTTGGTATAGTTATTTACCTCTATTGCGGCGAAGATGTTGAATGGCAGTTTTAATAACTTCATCGCTGTAGCCCATTTCTTTGATGCTGAGAACAGCCGGGGACTTCATTTCTTCATCAGTAACTGAATGTTTAGGAAAAAACATGTAACAAATAAATTATTCTCATGATATTAGTATTTACTTTAAATATATTTTCTACATAAATGTGTAAATACCAGTGTTATAATGGTGACAGAATGATGCCGGTTTACCTCTAATACTACTTCATCAAATACATTGTAATAGAATTCACTTCATACTCACCCCTGACAAGCTTGTACTTTGTAATGAGAGGTAATATATTAATATCAAACTGTTTTTGACAACTGGATCACAAATCCTAATTTTATGTTGACAAAAGTTACTTAGATGACAGATATCTTGATAAAATCTTTGACTTCATATATAATTAAGAATAAGATGAGTACACCTGATTCACCTATCTTAGTAAATACACTCCCTGGACTTATTACACATAGCATACATACCTATAGGTGGTGTTTGTGAGTGTCGCTGGTTGTCTGTGGGACCTGCCTGCCTAGGGTTGGAGGTTGTGTTGGGGCCAGTAACGGGTGGTGTACTTCCAGTGCTAGTCTGGTTATCCGTTATTCTGGCTGTCTGGGTGGTGACACTCTGATTTGCACTAGAGGCTCCTGTTGTTGTGTTGATGTATTCATTGGGTAGAGTCTAAATAACAAAATGATGTCAGCACAAAGTTAATCAAGCAAATCTGTTGAATTTCATTCCCTGCTTCCAGAAAAATGTTGCTGTAGACATTAATGTTGGACAAGCCAATAAGTTGTATATGTTATAACATGGATCTGCATACTAAATTTTGTTAAAACATAATCACAACAAGGGCATGGAAACTAATTAACCAATCAGACTGAAGTAGCCTGATCTGTATACCTATAGTGTATATACATACAAATGTACATCACATAGGTGATCAAACTTAGCCGGGGTCAGATTTGGTTAAAACTCTACCTTTTTTGGTAGTTAATTCACAGAAACCAATTAATAAAGCAATCAGAATAGTGCTGCTTCATTAAATATGTGTAAATAGGCATGCATCAATCAGCAATCAAACCTGACACTTGCTTATATAAATTGGTAGTGTCCTTAAAGGGTAGTTGTTGGTACAGTAGAAGTAGCCTGCTATTCATCAACTTTGAACCGGCTATTTTTTCAGAATATGTTAATGTCAACATAATAGCATGTCAACATTCAACAGGCCATTCTTCCAAGTTAACTACCTGTATAATTATGTCCATACCTGGTAAGTTGAAATGTTTTTGACTAATCGTACCAATTTTAGAAGAGATCTTATTGCAAGCAATTAAAATAATAATAATAATATACAGCATTTGATATAGCGCCCTATCTAGCTAACCTAAGCCACTCTAAAGCGCTTTACAGTATATAGACATACATTTTTTTTACAATCAATACAATAAGCATATACAGTAATCAATACAATTTGAGGAATTTGCAGGAGCTGCCTTATCAGGCGCTTACTACTAGTCCTATGCCACCTGGCTAATATCTCCCTACGTGTGTATGCCTGCGTGTGTGCTGGAGATGTTTATCATCATTAATTATACTCAGTATAAAGGCATCAAATTGGCAACTGTACATAACATGAGTCTTGCCTATATATAAGTGCATCCTGAATTTGGCTGAAATTGAATAAGTTTTTTTGGAATTATCACATGGACACTGATTAACTAATCAAAAGAATGTGACTTCATCAATTATGCATTAACAGGCACACATCAAATTAGCAATCCAACTTAGACTTACACTTGTCAATATTGATGTGCACACTGAATGTGTTTGAAATTGAACCCTTTCATAGGAGTTTACATTATTGCACAGAAATCAATTAACCAATCCAACCTGTTTAGCCTAATCAATTAAACATTTAAACTAAGCTGTATACTTGCCAATATCAATATATAAACCTTCAATATCGGTTGAAATATAACTATTTTAGGACAGACAGACACTTCCAAATTAACATCCCCAGTTTTCTCAAAGAATGAGAAATAAAATCAAATATAATGTTAATTATTTTATTCAATGATAACATTTTTTTAACAGAGAATCAGAAACTTTCTCTTTGTTACTGACATTTATCTTGTTGATCAATTATTGGACAACAATGACATGTTCAGACAATATATTTACAGAAAAGGCACAGTATTTAATTCTAGTAAAGGATAAAAGAAACACAAATAACTACCACAATATTTTTGTAGGCGTACAGCATATGAATGTATAGATCTAGGATCTAAGATAGTATGTCAAAACCACCATTCCTGGTATATTTGTTTGAAAATATGAAAGAGTAACCTCCCCTCAACCATCATCTTTTGTATTATGTTCTATTAATCATCAGTTGTCCATTCTAACCTGTGGTATCATTAAGGTATTCATGGTCTTTATCAAAAGCACTAAGGCCACATCACACTGATTGCCATTAGAATCATCAACAGAAACAAAGCCATATTTAGATATTCTTTTGTTACAAGTGAGTAAAGGGGTGGACTTTAAATCTAAATCAACTTACCAATTCTCGCTGTCTCTGAAGTACCAGGTTAATGAAGGTTTGACCTTTGTTTTGTTTGACGTAAGCACATCGCGGAAACCAGCGGGCATGTTCAACCCAGGGGTCATCACCAGGCTCCCAATTTCTAAGTCCACCTCCACAGAAGAAGCATCTTACATAATCTCCATAACCTATAAATAAAAGTGATCAAACAGTAAATATCAACAACATGTAACATAAATCAAACTAGCATTATATGTGAACCGTGTTTTCTCTGAACAACAGAACAGAAAGGTTCAATATTACCTCTAAATACATTACTTTTTCTTTTACCTAGATCAGGAAATGACAGTGCTAAGCTAGATCCTAGTAATGCAACAATAGTATGACACACTATCCTTGTTTAGTGAATGTATGCTTCATAGCTATACCAGCATAGCTGATAATGAATAAAAGAGTGCTGACAGTACAATCTCATTATTGATAGTTTTTGTTTTACAGACATTTTGATAATGTGTAATGTTCATTGGAGAATTAGATAAAGTTCAAAATATATTGAAAGGATATTAAACATGTACACGATGTACCATATTTCACTTGAGCCTTCTGAATATTTTTTATTCCGTGACTGATCTTCCTATAATATTGCACATATGTGCGCATTTATAAATCAACAGGACGATCAGTCGTTAAATAGCACAGTTGTGCCATTCTGATCTTTTAACGTTTTTCACAATTATTGAGCCACTTTTTCCATGCATATGGTTACTGTTAGATTCAAGCCAACACCTTCAGTTGTGTTGGCATGTAAAGATATGTAGGATAATCTATATATAGATTTACAAAATTCCAAGCCTAAGTGTGGATGGAAAGTCCATGTACAGATGCTCTCAATAATATGTCCCATGAAAACTTTGACAGGTGTATATATAATGCTTACCTGCATAAAAGAAACCTGCCCGGGCCATCTGTACGGGTGTCTGGTCCAGATGGTTCGGAAAGCCGTTGAAGGTACTTGATCTGACAGTCAAGACAGCGTAGTTAGGGTAACGTGGCTTTGCTGTTGTGACTCCCAGGTTGGCAGGGTTGTTTGCCGCTCCATTTCCTGTGCCAAGGGGCTGTTGTTGTCCAGGTTGCTGCTGTTGCTCCTGGTGTCGTTGATGTTGACGTTGAGCCAGTGTCGTGGGATGCTGTTGGTTTGCTGGTCGTTGCTGATTAGCCACAGTATCACTCTGTGCTTGGCTCTCAGTTTTGGTCGTAACATTAGATGCTGCTTGAGATACAGTAGAGGTTTGAGGAGCAGTTGATATCTGCTGATGAGCTGATGCCTGACCTGGCTGAGTGACAGCCGGTGTCGGATTTGGAGTGGACACTGGTGTGACCGGTTGTGGAGACAATGCCTGGGATACGGAGGAAGAACTGGCACCTGATGTCTGTGATGTTGGGGGATTAGAAGTTCCTCCTGCTCCCAAACCATTCCTCATTTCAGTGCGAACACTAGGTACTGTTGGTAAGGCCTGCGCTAGTGATGCTGTTGCTATAGGGTTTCCAGCATCTCTTTCTCGACCCAAAAGGATTGATGTGATGCTATCTGGTGTCTGAAGCATTGCTGTCAACTCCATTTCTTCTGCTGTTTGTTCGGATTCTACATGAAATAAGAAAGGAGAAATGCTCCAGAAAAGGTCAATTTGAATGAGATCAGAGGTCAAAACTCTTGTGACCATAAGTTTGCATATGATACTCAGTCTTCCATGAACCTATACTAATTGTGATGATCCTACATTAAATGGTATACATGAGAAATGCTCTGAAAGCATTTTTTCCTTGACTTAAGTCAAAGGTCCAAGTATAATTGGTATAGTGACTAATTAAGTTATATAGGGTACACAAAAATTATCTTAATAGGGTACATAATAAACTGTCTTCATTAAATGTACCAACTTTAACGATCCCACAGGAAAATATTAGAAATGTTCCAAAACTAGTTTTCCTTGCTTTAGGACAGATATTATCTTCAGTTCAGTTGCAGTGACTTACATTTGATAAGCAACATTCTATTAACTTGGGTTTTCTGAAATTAACCAAGATTAATGATCCTGCACAAAAAATACAGGCAATTTGCCCTAGGGAGGGGGAGGAAGGAGAGAAAGTTTTACCATGACTGAGGTAAGATGTCAAAGTATAGGTGACTGTACCTGTGTAAGGATATAGATGCAATATATATGTGTTTGGGAAGAATTTACTAAATAAGCCCAAATTTATATAATTACCCCTGAAGAAGTAAGTATACACCTAAACAAGAGATCCAAGAGGGATCTTGGTGCACACCATTGTACCATCTTCATTAGTTCTTTGTCAATTCGATCTTTTCTCTTCTTTCCTCTAATCTGCTTGATCGAGTCAATAGTGTTAACAGTAAATGCACCTTGAGGTAACTTTTGATCTAAACTTAATACTGATGTGTATGAAAGCCAACCTTCAAAGTGAGTTTGTCATTTCACATATTTACTAGTACAGTACTTAATGTGAAAGAAATAGAATCGATCATTGTAATATGAGAAAGATCTGTTTAGTTCTTCCTTTAGCCATTTTGTTTTTATGATCAGTCTCCAAATATAACATGCACAACGAGGTGTCAAGGGGGACCTACATATCAAATATGAGAAAGACAGTGGGGAACCTGCATTGGCTGGCTTAAAATATATTTTTTGGGCAAGTAAAAAATGTGAAGCACTGGCCAAAATGACATATTGGTGGCCCAAATAAATTTGGTAAGAAATATTTCCACAGCATTTAACACAATGCTTCAACACATTTAAATTACATATAACATGACTATGTTTGTAATATGTAAAACAGAATAAAACATTATATTTTTAATTCTAGTTAAAACCTGACATGTTCCCGAAAGAAATACACAAAACTTGCACCTCAAAGAAGACACCTGGCTGTATTTTATATAGAAAATTTGAAAAAAAAAATCATCACATTTTCTAAGTCACAGACAGTTTGATTCAAATCGAAGTAATGACAACTGAAATATGTACTGCCCCCCAGTTAATGTGGAAGGAACTATAATTTCTTTTATTCATAAATTTTTCAACAGTCACCCAAACTATTGTTGTTGGGCCAGTGACTATAGCTACCTCACTTTTAACAACTTTTGGTCGTCCGAGCAAGACTTTAATCGCCATTGGCGAGCGGGAGACTGTCCATTTCAGGCACTGCTGCACAGCTAAGGACCAAGGGAAACCTACATATAAAATTTAAGAAAGATCCGTTTAGTACTTCCGGAGAAATAGGGGTAACAAACCTTCACTATCAAAATCCAAGATGGCTGCCTGTTGGCCATGTTGTTTATCCGATCAGTCTTAAAAGTTGCCCTGCACATCTAATGACAAAGGGGAACCTATATATAAAATTTGAGAAAGATCCCTCTGGTACTTCTTGAAAAATACAGATAACAAACTTTCACTATCAAAATCCTAGATGGCTGCCTGTCAGCCATGTTGTTTATCCGAACAGTCTCAAAAGCTGCCCTGCACAGCTAAGGACCAAGGGGAACTTCTTGAGAAATACTGATAACAAGAATTGTTTAACGATGGATGACGAACGACAGACGGACCACGGACGCAGGGTGATTTGAATAGCCCACCATCAAATGATGGTGGGCTAAAAATAGTGCAGATCAGACCCCTCCTCCCAGACTCATACAAGCACATAGCTAATATCCTTACCTTCACCTCCACCTCTTCGGCTGAGGGAGGAAAACGATCCATGTATGGGCACATTTCCAACATTTTCCCCTCTCATAAAGCTGTTAACAAAAAATGAATAATTCATTTAGATATCAGCATACCTATCTTGCTTTTTTTTTTGTTATACATCCCCATAAACAGTTTAACATACACAAATTATAAAATATTTACGTTTTTCTGAAGAAAAAGGTGCTTTTATTCTTTAAAAAGCAATTCTATTGTGTGAAATAATTATATATAATAGCATCACAAATACATAATAACTGAAGTTTGAGTTATGGATGTCCCTGATGATGGGCTCTGCATAGTCGGAAAGCTTGGACTTGGAGCAACAGCCGCTTTTTAGTTTGTTATATTCCCTGTAGGAACTTTGGGGTAGACATTTACACTAAGCCCTTTATCTTTTTATCAGAAAAATGAAGTATTTCTTTCTCTTATTTCTGAATAATCAACTCATTTTGACCTTATTCTCAAAAAATGTAAACATGAGGACATCAGGCCTGATGCCTCTGTTGTCTGATTTAAAAACTAAGTAGAAATGTTTCCACTTACTCGAGACCCTGGGGGTCATCTAAGACTTAAAAAAAAAATCAAAAAAATCTCATTAACAAAGCGTGATGACAGCAATGCCAGCATATCCATGATGCTAGGTAAAACATGGTTCATGTATGATAGAACTGAATGTCTTCACATAAATCAATTTGCAAAATCAAAAGGTACGACTGACAGACTGATGAGTCTTGCGCGTGAACACTCAGATACATGAGCTTGAGGGATACTTTTAAAGTATCAAAATGTCAGTATAAAGATAGCTTCCTTTTCAAAATTGGCTTCAATTCGACAAAAGGATACAAACAAGATTCCCAATGGGCCAGCATCGCCCGCCTGGTATTAATCTCACACTTCTAACCTTAAAAGTGGTAGCCATGGATTAAAATAAATCTATGGGTCAGATATCAGTATCTATGACTAAGTTATTCAAAAGAACCTGTTAAAAGATTTTTAAAAACTCATTTGACTCCTGTGATCTTGAAAGTCTAACAGGTCATTCAATTGAGCAAATTTTATAGCCCTTCATCCCAGCATGTGACCTGACATATATCACCATCCCGGTCATTTTGTTAATTGAGATGAGGTCATTTAAAGGTTTATAAACATTTGATGTGATCTTGAAAATGGATCAAGGTCATTCACATGAACAGACTTCCTAGCTCTTCGCCCAAGCATGCTACTTACTGACCAAATATCACCACCCTATGCATTTGGTTATTTAGAAGAAATTGTTTAAATGTTTTCAACAAATTTGACCCCAGTGACTTTGAATATTGGTGAAGGTAATTCATTTTGACAAACCTTGTAGCTGTTGTAACTAGCCATATATCATCATCCTATGCCTTTTGGTTATTAGGACCAAGATGTTTACATGTTTTCAACACATTTAACACAGGTTTACATGTTTCGCCCCAGTGACCTTAAATATGGGTGATGGTCTTTCATTTGAACAAATTTGATAGCTATTCAAAGTGATATGTTTCTGACCAAATATCATCAGCCTAGACTTTGGTTATTCAGGGTATTGTAAAGTTGTATAGATTAAACATATTTAACCTCTGTGACCTTTTACAACATGAACATGATGGACTTCCGCCAACCATGTTAGTAGACAATTATCATCACCCTAGGCATTTCTCTTATTCAGAAGAAGTTGTTTTAAAGTTTTTAACATATATGACCCCTGTGACTTTTAATATGAATCAAGGTCATTAATGCTAGCCCATCATCCAAGCTTGCTACTGGCCAATTATCATCATCCTATAGCCATTTTGATTATACAAATGATATTTGAACCATGTGACCTTGAATAGTAGATTAAGGCCATTCATTTGAACCAACTTTGCAGCCCTCCTGTTAAGTGCCTCCCTGCAGGTTACCTGGCCAAATATCATCACCCTAGGCTTTTATGTTATTCAGGAGAAGTTGTTTGAAAATTTCAACATATTTGACCCTGCACTTCTTTTAATATGATTAAAAGTCATTCATATGAACAAACATGATATAGTTCTACTATTAAAAGCATGTCACTAGCCAAATATCATTACTCTGAACCTTTTGATTTTTTAGAAGAAGTTGTTTAAGTGTTTTATTTAATGACAGGTGACCCCTGTGACATTGAATATGATGACGTCACTCATTAAAACAAAAATGGTAAACCTTTATCCCAGCTTGCTTCTTGCCAAAAACAACCACACTAGCCATTTTCAGGAAAAGTTATTTTCAGTTTTTAATATATTTGACCCATGTGACCTTAAATATAGGTCAAGGTCATTCATTTTAACAAACTTTGCAGTGCTTCGTCTCAGCATATTACTGGCAAAATATCATCCCCCTGGGTCTACCGGTTATTGAGACAGATGACCCCTATGACCTTAATTGAATACGGGTGAACGTAATCTAATGGAACAAACTTAATAGATTGTCATCCTAGCTTGCTACCCAACAGGCCAAATACCATCATCCTAGGCCTCCTCGTTATTTATAAGAAGTTGTTTGAAGTAAAACAAGAGGCCCAATGGGCCTGCATCGCTCACCTGGTATAAATCTCACACTTGTAACCTTAAAAGTGATTTAAAATAAAGCTACAGGCAAAATATCAGTATTTATGATTAAAATTCATTCAAAAGACCCTGTTATTTTTTTATAAAACATTTCACCCCTGTAATTGAAAGTCGAACAAATTTTATAGCCTTTCATCTCAGGATGCAATTTGCAAAGTATCAACATCCTGGGACCCATGGTTATTCAGAAGAGGTCGTTTAAAGATTTTAAACAAATTTGACCCCTGTGACCTTGAATATAAGTCAAAGTCATTCACTTTAACAAACATAGTAGTCCTTGATCCCAGCATGCTACTGACTAAATATCAACATCCTGAGCCTTTTGATTATTCAGAACAAGTTGTTTAAATATTTTGAACATATTTGCTCCTTGTGACCTTGAATATGATTCAAGGTCATACATTTAAACAAACTTGGTAGCCCTTGATC